TGCGGTGTGGAGCGAACGCGCGCTGTTGTCCTTTCAGGGGAGTAGCGCACTTCACCACCTCACCATCCGGGTCTTTCGTTTTGCCTGTCTCTCAGCTAGTTCTATGGCAAAAGATCAATAGAACTAGCTCAGAGACAGGCAAAACGAAGAATCCGGATGGTGTGGTGGGGAAGTGCGCTACTCCCCTGAAAAGACAATAGCGCGCATTCGTTACACACCGCATACACCTGCGGTCCGGAGTTTTGCAAATATCTTAGAACTATATAAGAAAAACTTATGTTATGCGAGAAAATTTGTACAACGTTAGGAGAAAGATATGATACCCCGAGAATCCCTAGAGCGAGTAGAACCCACTGGGCAACTCATCCACACGACGGGGAAAAGTAGAAGACTTATTGGCGCTCACTCGAGTCACTCCACAATTAACGGGACTACAGGTGACAGGTGCATACAGAATACGGTGAAATGGGTGCGTATTGCCAAGCACGACAGCCTTTCTGATTGGACTAGTTGCAGGGTGCGGTAGCCATGAGTTTTTCGTGTCCAAATAAAGGGAGAAGGCGCTGCACTTCATTCCCTAAAAGGCGGGAATGTCGTATTGCAGCCTTCTGTATCATTGAAAAACACGTGAAGGTTATGATTTGACGCTGACAAGGCGTTCTATGTATGTGATCGACAGCAATCTTTAAGGAATGGATATTTCGTTGTCTTTTAGATCCAGTACCACCTTCTTTTTTCGCAGTATGGACGTTACTCGAATTTGTTCTTTCTTTGGAATCACTGAGAAGGCCGTTTTACGGTGTCTCTAAACTTGACTTTCTCGCTTAAGCACTCACATCAGCTAAAGTGATCTGCAGATGTCCTTCTTTTTTCACTGTCATAATAGCTCAACGGCGCTTTTTTTCTATTCTCATATAAAGGTTTGGCTTTACGGAAAAGTCAACAGTTCAGTCTTAACACTCATGCGATGCGTGACATCGATAGGTGTAGTAATGGTTTGTCCGAGTGGACTGTATGACATCTACGTGTTTTATTTTGCTTCCAGTTGCTTATTTTAACACATGAAACTATTTCCTTACACTTCTTCATATCAATTGATGGCTTGTAGAACACAGCTGCTGTGTTGGTCACCGTTCATCAGAAGCTCTTTTCTGCACTTAGAAGTATATTTAAAAAAACTTGCACACGTCAATACTATGCATAATTTTATATAAGTACTTACTTGGATACATGGATAGCCTGTTTTTACTGGTTGTGAGCCGTCAAACGTAATTCCCAATTTTTGGAGTTTCGCTGGTCTGGCCACTGTGGTTTCTTGGAGTTCCGAGGACAGCCTAGCCAAAGTCTGCTCCAAGTTGTCACCACCAAAGGCAATCCCCGCCCCTGTGGATCAGAGGGAGATTTGCCACCATGCAACTTTGTTACCAAGACGGTGGTTGACCCCGGCATTGGTTAACTCTTGGGTACAAAAAGACGAAAAACTCTTTGGTAATTACATGATCAACAACTTCTCGAAAAAACCCACCGCTTTTTCGTGACTTCCAATGAGGAATTTTAGAACAACTGATTATAGTCGCATGTGGTTGACGACTGCACCATCCCACATCAAAAATCGATGCGAACATACGGGATCAGGTCGCGTATGACCTCCGGACATTCATCCCTGGTATTCATTGTAGGGTTTTTGGCATTGATCCAAAAAGCCTCAAGAAGTTTTCGTGCTGGTGTTTTGGACTCCTGTGCAAGGATATTGACTTTTACTTCAAAATCGTCTCCGCTATGCTTTTGTATCCTATGCGTGCCTAGTGGGGTGCTTCGTCTTAGTTTTCGTTTGCCATCTAGGTGTTCTTTTACACGGATACACAAAGGCTTGCCCGTTGCGCCAATATATTCATCTCCCGCGATTATTACAAGAGATCAGGTATATCGTACCTGAACTCATGCAATCACCGTCCCTGCCGTAAGGGCAAATTACGGAATTTGTTGTTTCACATAGACGGTCACACAGGCGGTTACGAACTAATTGGCGACGTAGAGTAGCCGGTGGTATTTCAACTATCGCTACCGATTCCTCTAGGCCTGCCCTTCTTAAGCATCGTTTTATAGCTACGCTTACTTCATCGCTTATAAAAGGCAACATAGACGGGACTTCCTTTTAGCCAAGCGTTTCGCGTGGGCGCGTCGTTCTCCTTGTAAAGTTATCTCGTGGGGTTACTATTTCGTAGCCATTGGAGATGGCTATTTGCCAAGCCAAGTCACGCGATTCTTCCTTTAGTTCCCTGGTAGTGCACATAGAGATTGCTGTTCGAAACATGTTTCTCACAATCGCCCTCTTTGTGTGTGAAGGGTGGGATGAAAGGAAATGAACAAGAATGTTCTTGTTACTTGGCTTTCGATACCACTTTGTCAGGTAACCGCTACTTGATAGGTTTATTTGAGCGTCCAAAAACACAAACCAGTTTTTTCTCGGTTTCTCCCGGGTGAACTTTATGTACTCGGACTGCTCGTTCAATAATTCAAAGCATTTGTCCATCTCCTCCTGCGTAGAGAAGGCGACAGAACAATCATATACATATCTGCAGTAGACTAGTGGCCGGAGATGGAGAACGAGGGTTCGTATCTTAGACATAAATACAATGGGAATGCTTGGTGCCAGTCGTTGTCCCATTACCAACCCCCTTATCTGCGCGAAATATTTTCCAGACCATCTGATAACCAAGCAGTTTAGGCACTCCTTTAAAAGAGCCATTGGCTGCTGCAAGCCATGCATATTTATTCTTCCTTCATGTTCAATGGGAAGCTCGAAGATGGCTTGCATTGCGGAGTCATTCGACGCGTTGGTTTATAAGCGATGAGGTAAGCGTAGCTATTAAATGATGCTTAAGAAGGGCAGGTCTAGAGGAATCGGTAGCGATAGTTGAAATACCACCGGCTACTCTACGTCGTCGATTAGTTCGTAACCGCCTGTGTGACCGTCTTTGTGAAACATGCGTAATTTGCCCTTTCGTCAGGGACGGTGATTGCATGAGTTCAGGTACGATATACCTGATCTCTTGTAATTATCGCGGGAGATGAATATATTGGCGAAACGGGCAGACCTTTGTGTATCCGTATAAAAGAACACCTAGATGGCAAACGAAAACTAAGACGAAGCACCCCACTAGGCACGCATACGATACAAAAGCATAGCGGAGACGATTTTGAAGTAAAAGTCAATATCCTTGCACAGGAGACTAAAACACCAGCACGAAAACTTCTTGAGGCTTTTTGGATCAATGCCAAAAACCCTACAATGAATAGCATGGATGAATGTCCGGAGGTCATACGCGACCTGATCCCGTACGTTCGCAGCGATTTTTGATGTGGGATGGTGCAGTCGTCAACCACATGCGACTATAATCAGCTGTTCTAAACTTCCTCATTGGAAGTCACGAAAAAGCGGTGGGTTTTTTCGAGAAGTTGTTGATCATGTAATTGCCATTGAGTTTTTCGTCTTTTTGTAAGTGTCATTGAAGCGTTTGGCCTAGTAGATTGTATATCAGAATACCCTTCCAGACTCTGAAGAAGGCGATACTGCCGAAACGTCAGCTAGCGTATTGTATTGTGTTTCTCTATGGAAGTAAATGTATGCTGTTTAAAAACCTCGCGATTGCTGAACAAGAAAACGACATATTCATATTCCAATGCCGAGGTTAATAGAAAGTCGATCCTGGGAACTGTACATAGAACTGATTCAATTCTGATTGATATGATATGAATGGTAGTTATCTTATAGTGTGCGGTATAAAAAAAGCTGAAATAGTGACCCCTAAGTTGCAAAACGCTTCCAAATGCTGACTGTAATATGTTTGCATGATGGAGCATGACAGTACGTAGTAAATCATCTCTATCACCTGTACTACCGTTGGTCGTCGAGTGTTTCGTGCCGGGGCCAGTAAATCTTCCATTTTTCCCTGTCGCAAGAGTGGCCCAGTGGGTTCTGCTCGCTGTAGAGACTCGTCGAGCATTATATCTTTCTTCTAAGCTCTTCGTGATGAACTCTGACCATCGGATCGGTGGTCTTCCTGCAGTACGTTTGACATCTCGAGGAATCCAGTCACTAAAGGCTCTTGTCCATCTGTCGTCATTCATACGCATTACGTGTCCGACCCACCTTATCTTTGACAGTTTTGCGTGTAGAACGGCATATTGAATTTTTGATTTTTGACGTAGTTTCGAGCTTCGGATCCCTTCCCTTGCTTGCGTAGCAAGGGATACTCCTAGCATCGTCTTTTCGACTACGCGTTCAATAACGCTGAATGACTGCCACGACCGACTTTCTATTAACCTCGGCATTGATCAAGTGATTTTCTTCGTATTTTTGTTGAACAAACGCGAGGTGTTACTATTCTTTGTTCACGATTAAGCTGACGTTTCGGCGGATTTCGCCTTCTTCAGAGCCGCTTTCTATGAGGTTTCCATAGTATGTATGTCACGTAGAGACCAACCGCACAGAAATCACGTGGAAGTATGATGTGAAACCTCATAGAAAGCGGCTCTGAAGAAGGCGAAATCCGCCGAAACGTCAGCTTAATCGTGAACAAAGAATAGTAACGCTGAATGACCTCTCATCCTACTTACTCAGCAATTAAATTTCCGACGCATGTGTTAAGGCACTGAACATCGTGGAGTGGAAAAGATGGAGTCGGGTGTTCTTTGTTCTCTTTATTACGTCAGCGATGGTCGCGAAGGGGAGTGTGCGTCGGTAGTAGCGTGTGCTTTCGGTACTCTATGGAGAATGGTTCTATAGGTTATTTCGACTATACAGCTGGTTTTAATGAGCTGTACTGCAAATTTTCCCGCACAACTACCCTTTAGTGTCGAGAAATTTCCACGAATTTCTTCCATGTTATTTCGTCTTGAGTTGTTTTACAATACACATTCAAATAGTGAACGAACGGTATAAAGAAGCGAATGTTAGTGCTTTATGCTGAGCATTTTTCTTATCATGCAGTCATTGGTCAAGTTTTTAAGCAGTCGAAAATCTGAGATGAGTAGGAGATGACGAGATCAAGGTCGGCAAAGTGTTCGCCGTTGATGTCCAAAACTGCAATAGAAGATTTGTACTAAAGTATTATAAAGGGTGATCATTTCTAATTGAACGTCGGAACTATCTGCAAACGTTAAAGGCGCAGGTTTTTGTACTACTATTGGTTTAAATGAAACCTAATCAGATTAAGAGTAAATACTCCTTAAATATAGAAACCGAGCACATCTGTTACAGTGTAAACCTAAAAATATTGAACCCTAAACGACACTTATGGACATGTGTGGTGCTGTGGTCGGAGGCGCCTTGCAATACACATGGGACCGATTTCCGCGCCAACGGCTCACCAAGGCTTCCATCCACCGGGGTCGGCAAATTGGTACCAGACTTGTCTGGGAGGATAGCAGCACTGTTTCGATACATCAGCAGGCCACCGCGAGTCATTGTGTAGTCCAGTTATGCATTCAGTCACCTCCAAATGATGTTTAATGAAATCGAATGCACGGCGCATCCCTAAGAGATTGATCAACACCGAGAGCTTTTTCAGCTTTTTTAAACGACATGTATTAAAATTTTAAAAATAGAATTGATTTTTAGAAGTTCCAAAGATAATGTAAAAAAAATACTAAGGAGCTTGAAGATCCTTTTACTATCGGAAAGATTACGAACATTTCGCTCACTCCACTTTGCAAAAAAGAAAGCGTAAAAGAATGCCGACATGTTTGTAATTAGTTTGACTACCAAGGTGACAATGTGCCAGCCATTACTTAGCGGAATATTTCCGGTTTCTTGAAGTAATGAGTACGCCAATCATCAGAAAGTTACTTCGCCTTAACAAAGAAATAGTTCAAATCGGTCACACTCACACTGGATAGTGGTGGTCCGGTCGGAGCCCGTTTGACTGAGTTCCAATTGTGCGACGGCCAACTCTTCACTGTCGTCACCTTCTGTCACTAGCGTGAAGTCCAGCCGATTCCCTAGCTTCAACCACTGCTGTAGCAAGGCGACACGTCGTCGCGAAAGTTGAAATTCTTTAAAAATTCTTGTTTTGAAGGAAATATGCATTTGCGCCTTGCTTCTTGAATCCTCCTAAAATCTCCCACTGTACGTGATCAAATAAGTCACGCAACACAGAATTCAACAAGGGAACATTTTTCACCAAATGTCATATTTCTTTAAGGGTCTACACTATCGCTATAACACATATAAGATTTGTATCAACGGAGACCACTTGGTTTGACCTGGTGTTATATCACTACCATTCGGATTGTGCAAGATCTGAAGAATATAGGGTAGTATTGATATGGTCTCGCATCTTTTGATGAGTTTGATTGATTTTTTTAACCCTAGATTTTTGCAAACGCACTGCCAAACCCTTTTTTTAAACTAACCTTCATGCAATCTCGGCACAAGTAATTACAATATCATGATTTACTGACAAGCTTAAAAGAAGATGGTAGAAACTGACACGATTTGAATCTACAACAACGACTCCGTACTGAAAAGAGCCACTTTTGCGGATTCGACCAGAATCTGTGTCTCTCAAGATCATGATATCGCCAAGATCGCCACAACAAGAACTTTTTAGATCAACCACTTATAGACGTACTAGTTAAATTGAGACAATATCGACTGTGTATCTCAAAATTTCACTACCTTAAACAATGCTTTGTGCGTTTGTGCTTACATTATCTACCATTTCGTACTGAAGATTGCATTCGACACTTTTTCTTAGTATTATTGTGGAAACTTTTGTTCAGTCCAGACCATCTCGCTAAAAATAGGAAGAAAGAAAGTTGAAAAAACCTTTTCACCAATCCAAAATTACAGATGAAGCAGAAGGCACAATCTCTCAACGGTTTACCACCTCATCGTGGCTGGGAGGTGTTCTTGGGTGTCGAGCTGCGATGTGGAACGGGGATTTATCCCCCCAACCGGGTCTCCCAAACTGAGGTGTCCGGCGTTTTAGTCAGGAAGTCCAGCTAAGAGTAAACCAATACCACGATCCATACCATCCTGGTATCGAACTAGACGCACGGTGGCAAATCTCCCTTTGGGCCACAAGGGCGTCGGCAGCCTGTGGTGGTAACCACCTGGAACAGACTTCGAAGGCTGACCTCGGAACCACAATGGCTAAACCAACAAAACTCCATGATGGGGCACGCAGAACAACTGAGGACAGGTCATCCAAGTATCCAAGTAACTAAAATAAGCCAGAAAAGAGAAATCACAGTGCTAACGTTTTGTCTGGCGACGGGATTATTAAACGGTAATGGCAAAACACATTAGAAAATCTTGTGACGGATATTAGAGTATGGAAGCTTACAACGGCTCGCAAGCTTATGGAAGAACTAGGCGTGATTATAGAATAAGCGCTTCGAAACACGTTAATCGAATCAAGAAATTAAATAACTTAATTTGATAGAAGAATGTATCATTAACTGAACGGCCGGTGACATGGATCCCGTCCTGAGCTTTTTCTACGCAAAGAAGCAGCCAAGCGATTTCTGCATGATAACAGGCAACTTTCTGTAGAATAACTGGACGAATCCAATGCTGCAGGAAACTCAGCGAACGAATCTAAGCTAAGATCACTTCCTCGTGTGTAGCAAGCAGAAGTAGAAGTACCCATTGATTAATGTTGTCGGAACCAATATGGAAAAGAAGTACTGACAAGAAATCGAGAAATAATCAAGAACTGCAATAGCTGCGTCTAACATGAACGGATGCAGCGGAAAAACTGTTAAGGTACTGCATTTCGCGTTACCCAGAAGACTTATGGGACTTTTTGCTAACCGACCATTACTTTTTCTCAAGTACCTCAAACACCACTAACACAGGAAATCTTCAGTATTCATAGTGATGCTGAAGATATGTCTAGATTCATGAATAACGGAGTAAAAGTTACGGAAATAGAGTACTGTACTTTTTTGGTATGAATTGTTATGGGATGACATACTCGTAATCTGACAGGTTAGAAGCACTGCTCTTTGAGTACATCTTTAACCAATGGTTGGTTAAAGGTTTTCTTATCTTAAAATCCATGGTCTTCTGGTCTTCTGGTCTTGGTCTTCTGGTCTGGTCTGGTCTGGTCACCTTCTGGTCTTCAATGAAGGCTTCGAGAATCATTTGATGGCCAGGATTTCCTTCCTCATGGAAAAAGTAGTACTAGGTAATCGGTCCAAGATTCATAAAATATACAGTTGTTTAATGAAGGAAAATATCGTTCAGCGCATCAAGTATCAGAATTCTCTGTGATAAGCGAACTTTCAAATAAATTCTCTTCAATTATAAATGTCATAATGTTAACCTTTTCTCTTTCCTGCCTATAGTTTTTTTCCGGCACGGAACTGAACTGCAACCACAGTGATGCTGAGATACCCGCAAAACTTCGCCCGCGGGCCAGAAAGCCCTTGGAAAAAGAAGTTGTGGTTCGGTCTGGCTCAGGATCCAAGTTCTGCGAATATCTCGGCATCACTGTGGTTGTAATTCGCATCACACACAATGCCGGAAAATATTGTAGCAGGCAGAAAATAAAAAAGGTTAACGTTGTAATTTCGACTACAGCCTCAGCTTAAGTGGGTTCAATGCCGATTTGTGCTCCCCAGATCAAACCTGTTGACGGGTGATTGCTGATGCGTAAGGCAGAAAACTGGCTAAGGGAAACGCAGAGCAAGGGCCTCAGTGGCGCAGTGTGTATTGCGCGAGCTCCTATAAGAGTAAACGTGGTTCGATCTGGCCCACGATCGAAGTCTTGGGTATATCTCAGCACCATCGTAGTTGTAAATTTTATAGTTGTTTCTTATATTGACTTAATTCTTTCAAAAACTAATTATTTCATTTCGAAACATGTTCATTTATCTCTAATATTTTGCACCCTCTCACTATAAATCCATATCAATTACTAAAATTACTGTATTCTTTCATCAGTGTTATAAATAAAAAAGCCTTATCTGTCTCTTCTACGATTGTACGAATCCAGTCACACTCTATCCTTACCTTTTTTGTATGCAAATATTCCTGGAGAGTCAGGGATTCGTGGCAGCTTAATTGCCTTTGGCGTTCTGGACTCTTCCAACGGATAGTCTAAGAAGAACCTGAAGTACACCCATTAATTCCACATCCCTTCTCCTCTTTCTGACGAACAGCTGAGGTTTTCACACTCTTTGCTAACAAACACAGTGAAGTTTTAGAGAACTTTCTTTTTTATTAATGCTTTGGGATGGTTTGTAAAATGTCAAATATCGGAACAATTTAAAAAAGAACGTTACCAGTCCACGTAGACTTTGATATCATCATAGGAATGCTGTAGAAGACGCGAGGATTCAGGAATGTATATTCGGTCGATGAAAATTGACACCGTTCGACTCTCGTCCGTATCCGAATCATCCTTAACTACGCTGATGCAGTGAACCCATCTGTCTTTTTTATTTCCTTTTCTACAACATAACTTTCATATCTACTGTGCGGATCTCCAGCACTTCACAATTTCGATTCGTTTTCTCGCATCCATCATCCACGAAGGTCTTCCGCAAAAAGTGGTTCGAAGACCTTCGTGTATGAGGGAGGCAAAGGACGAACCGAATGCAAGAAGTGCTAGGACTCGCCAAGTAGATGTGCAAGATTGGTTGGGTTAAATGAAGGAAATATAAAAAGAGAAGTCTTCGAATAGGTTAGATCGAGCGCTTTCACCTCTTGTTCTTCTTTTGTTACTTTGATCGCACTTCTTCCTCCACTGACTGGTAGTGGCACATTCGGTTTAGGTGGAGGAGACGACGCCGATGAACTTTCGCTGGCTGCAAATTTTCGACTTCATTACATTCTTGAAGTTATTTTTGTTGATTTGCACAACTTTAAGCAGATAGATCTTGATGTCTGAAGATGTGTTAGAATCAACTAGATGTTTATTCATGGTCCTCCAGCTGTCCCTATAAGCTCGATGATCAACATGTAGATATATCCGGAATATATATTATGCTGCGTTCTCCAAGTTCACGCTTTATTTCCTTCTTTTTCTCTTATCGTGAAATACTCATGTAATGTAAGACGAATCCTTTTTTCCTCTTTTTTCAGTGCGTTAGTCGAAATTTGTCGATCACACAGATATCATCTCTTTTAAGATTTATGCTTATGCTGAAGCATCAGAGATATGAACCGTATGGACCGTTAAAATGTTGCTGGATCGTTTTTATATGTCTTTGACACCAAAGGGATTAGTTTTTCACCATGCATATAAGGCAACCGATTTGACGAAGAAAACAGCTGCAACGGTGGTTCACTGCTACCTAGACGTTTGATTTTTGCAAAAACATTAACCATTTCGAGGACAAGTTAGCTTCACTCAGCATTGCAAATCCAACGAAAACCCACGATCAACTTTCTGCTGACCTCGGTATTGATCGAATTATCCGTTATATCGTTGTTCAGCAAACACGAAATGTTATTTTCTCCTTCCTTCCGGTAAAGCTGATGTTTTGGCGGATTTCCCCCTTCTCAGACCTTGGAAAGCTCAATTTGATCGCAATCTACCCAGACAAACTCCTCCATGACCAAACAGAAAAGTGCTAAACCAAGATTTCAATCACGTTGAACACAGAATAGCTTCTTTTTAGTGCACTAGAATTCTTATTAGAATTGGGCCTAAGTTTCTCATCATGTGAACTTCTTTGCGTAAGCTTGCGTGTGGTTTACATGAACTTCAAGAGAGACTCCGCAAGAAAGCTAGAAATGAAACGCAAAATAGGTGCGAACAACACCAAGTGGGGCCCTACCAATAGTGCCATTTCCTCAGACGTTCTTTAGACAACTAGAGCCCAATAATAAAGTTAGCGTTAAATTTCGGATGTTTATGAATGAAACTTTCAAAGTCCTTAATCATTATCGCTCGAAAAGATACAGCTCAAACCTCACAGAAGTGCAAAAATGTATGCGAGAGGTACGAGAGTTAATAAGGTTGAAAAACACAAGACTATCCGTTAAGGAAAGTGGTGGAGAGCTTGAAGTAATTCCTCATCAGTTAGATGTTGAGATAATGGAAAATCACCATGAAGATGCTTCCTTTTATCGTCCATCGTCTAAGAAGTAATTTAAAAGTCAACTCCGAAAATTAAACAACGAATGGCTTGAGATGGAAAATCTGGTAGGTTAAAACCATCAGTTATTTCTCAACTCAAAGTTGAATTGCCAGCATGTCCCGACTTATACTTAGTTATCAAAACTCATAAGTCAGTTTCCAGTGATGATTTTGTGTCTGACAATCCATCGCTGAGGAGAGAACTACTATTAGCTGTGTAGACGTCCCAACGAGTAGAATAACGCGGCTTTTAATCCTAATACTTACCCAGTTGTTAAAGCATATTCCAGCCCATCTAACGAACACCCATATGTTCTTGGATCGCACAGGTAACGCGCGCCCTATCATCGTGTACGTGATGGAATCCTTCAACGTCACCGCCCTTATACAAACGTGTCGAATGACTCCGTTTTACAAACCATCCCCGTTCTTATATAACACGAAGCAGCGATAAACATGTGTGGCTTAACGGTTCAGCAGTTGATGATACCCTCAAAGGAGTGCCTGAATTGCTCACTTTTCAGATGGTCCAAGAGATATTATGCACAAATCAAAGGGTTTGCAATGGGGCAACGACTGGCACCAAGGCTTGCCATTGCATTTATATTTAAGGTGGAGGCACCAGTAACCGACCTCGGGCCATTACTCCACTATGGGCAAATAGATGATTGCTTTGTTATTTGGCCAACACAAAAGGAAATGGACAAATGTATGGCGCTATTAAATGAACACTCAGAGTAAATTAAGTTTACCCGACAGAAACCGAAAGAAAACCGGCTTTCATTTCTCAAAGCTCAAACTAACCTATCCGAAAACGGTTACATTTCAAAGTGATACTGAAAACCAAGCAGCAAAACACTGGTTTATTACTTCTCCTCTCATCCGTCACAAGGTAAGAAATATGTTTCGAACAGTTGTTAGCGTGCGAAAAGAAAGAAAGCAGAAGTTGGAATCCCGGATTGTCTCGGCAAATAGCGATTTCTAATGGCTACAAAACTGTAGCTCCTCGAAATAGGTATAGAGGAAAACCCAAACGACAACTCTAGCGACAACAAAGTCTCATTTATCGAGCCCTTCATTTGAAATGAAATAAGTGCTGGTATAAAACGTTTGAGAAGGGCCGGGTTTGAGAATTCGGTAGCACTAATTGAAATACCACCGAGCACTCTATGAAGCTAGTTAGTTCGCAACAGCCTGTATGACAGTCCATGTCCATTCCCAACAGTCCCCAGCGCAAAATTTCATAATATGCTCTAACGGTGGAGACGATAATTGCGTGAGTATGGGTACGCTAAAGTCTGATCCCTTGTTAAACGTGACGGACCAAAACATTGGCGAAGCGGGTAGACGACTCTGCGTCCGTATAAAAGAACATGTAGTCGCTGAACTTAAAGTTAAACCAAATCTCCACGCGCAAAGGACACTGAGACATAACGGGGAAGATTTTGAAGTTAGAAGTCAGCATCCTCGCAAAAGAATCGAAAACACCAGCGCGCAAAACTCGAAACATTCTAGATGCACTCCAGGAATCCGAAAAGGAACTGCGGAGAGGAATGCCTCATAAACATGCGTGATATCCGACATTTAATACTGTTATTTCAATGTGAGAAGCACATTACGCTTCCATTTGAGCTTTCTGAAATTGGTCTCCACGTTTCGCACTCGGTGGCAGGCTCATACAAAGCGGTGAGTGTGCAAAGAAGCCATTTTGTGTCCTGTGTGACTGGAATCTTGGTTTAGCATTATCTCGGTTTGATTATGGAAGCGTTTTGCTAGATAAATTGCGGTCAACCCGACCCTTCCAGATTATGAGGAAGACGAAATCCGCCGAAACGTCAGCTTCACCGGAATAGAGAGTAAAACGACGCCTCATGTTTGCTCAACAGGAACATAAAGAAGTATTCAACGAAGACCATTTTATTTCTGCTCTTCGAGGCTGATGACGAATAATATTATCGTTGATACTTGTACTAATAAATATGCAAAGAATGCAGAAACAAAAAAGCATAGAAAAGAATTTCTTTGTCATTCAGCCAGCTGTTTCGAATTTTAAAAGCTTTTCGTTCCTGTACTTGATAGGCTTACGTGAACAAACTTTAATAACAAACTGAATCTTTATATTACTTCTGTTGTGAAGGGAGATACTAAACCATTGGCGACTACTCATCTTTTAATAAACAACTGCCTGGTATCTTGCCGTTTTTCGGAATGTTCTCCACAACAAGCTGCACCTACTGAATTTAGCTTAGATATCCGAAGAAATGAAATAACAATGTTATACCTTTTTATTTTCTGCCTACTATGATTTAGCGGCAGGGTACTAAGCGAAATACAACCACAACGTTGCTGAGATATTTGCAAAACTTTGGACCGCAGGTGTCTATGGTGGGGAACGAACGCGCTATTGTCCTTTCCGGGGAGTAACGCGTTCACCACCACACCATGCGGGTCCATGTTTCGCCTGTCTCTCAGCTATTTCTATCGATCTTTGCCACAGCAATCACCCTTCAGCGGGATTGATCTGGGGCGCCCAAATCGGCATAGAACCCAGTTAAGCTGCGGCTGTAGTTGAAATCACAATGTTATACCTTTTTATTTTCTGCCTACTATGATTTCGCGGTAGGGCAATAGCGCGTTCGTTCCCCACCATAGACACCTGCGGTCCAGAGTTTTGCAAATATCTCAGCAACGTTGTGGTTGAAATAACAATATTTTCTCGTCTTGTTTTAATTTTTATTGAAGCAGTAATCCAATTACTGTACTCACGTGGAATAGATTTATGGAGAGGATCTGTGAATACCACTATTCGTTGCCGGTCCGTTGGAGTTTCGTCACTTCCGCCGGTGCTTTCCTTGCTAGCGGATTCACCACTTCCTGGTGTAGATGGTTTCGTTATGGACGACAAGTCCTGATTTTCCAAAAGCGTCTGAAAAGTCAGTAGCCTACTGGAACTTTTTTTTTAAAATCCGGTCCTTAGCTTGTTAACTTCTGAAGTAAAGAAGCGATATTAGTTACGTAGTGAGTTCACTTATGATACCTAATTTATAGTCCTCTTCAAAAGAAAACGAAACGAGTTTCAGTGACAATTCTGCTTTACATACTAAAGCTATTGCTCTTATTTTCAAGAAAAGCGCTAACCCTTCTAGTCGCGAAATTTCCAAACCTTTAGTTCCAGTGCAGGTTCTTGTGAGCAATCATTGAGAGAATTCTTATTACTGAGTTCTGTGTGATCCAACCGCATTGGTGATGAGACATCTGCAAAACTCCTGACCGCAGGCGTCTGCGATGGAAAACGAACGCGCCGCTACCATTTTCGAGGCTAACGCGTCCACCACCACACCATGCGGGTCCTTCGTTTAGCCAGTCTCTCCACTAGTTCTATCGACTACAGCCTCAGCTTAACTGGGATTCGGTGCCGATTTGGGCTCCCCAGATCGATCCCGATGACGAGTGATTGCTGATGACACTGACCGATAGAACTGGCTGAGAGAAAGGCGAAAAAAAGGACCCGAATGATGCAGTAGTGAACGCATTAGCCCCTGGAATAGGTACGGAATAGCACGCTCGTTCCTCACCGCAGACACCTATGGTCAGGAGTTTTGCAAATATCTCAGCTTCATTGTGGTTGTATCACACATCCGTGAAATCCTGCCGTGAAAAGTGGTAATAGGGAGTCCATAAAAAGTCAACACTGAGTTCTCATTTTCTCTGAAACGCAGCAAGTGCGGTGGATGTTGAGAATCACCCCGTCTCTCAGAGCTTGGCAAATCGATAAGACGCTTGTTTGGGAATAGCTCTTTTCGATCCACGAAGGCTACCAGAATTCGAGGTAGAATCTACCAGAATTCAGAGACATTGTGAAAAAATAGATCATCTGAAGCAACGAAGTCCACGCGCAAATCCGAAAGCCTTCATGGACGATAGGTGCGGCCCAACAAACCGAACTGAAGATGTGTCAAGAACTGTGTGTTATGTGAAGTTAAGTCGGATCGTGTAAAAAAAATTCTCTGACAAAATGTTGTTCAAAGCACAATCTTTATTTCAAATTACAAAAGCTTATTTCGCCAAAGAAAGCGATCATTTAACAACCATTATTTTATGTTCCTGCAAATAAAGCACTGCTAGAGCACCTATATATACACAAATGCGGGATAGTTATTTCTTAAGAGGTTAATGTCTTGATTCTCCTCTATCCAGGCTCGGTCAGTGGTGAGCACTTGTGAGAAAAGTGAAGGCCACGGGCTTTTTCATCGCCACTGTTCGTAATTTTACAGCTATATTGTTATACTGCGCGTTTGGCGCAGTGCTTGGAGGCCCCCTGCAACACACCCGATCCCATGGAGTCGATGGAGTCGATCTCCGCGCCCATGGCCCAGCAAGCTTTCCGTCTCTCCGGAGTCAGCAAATTGATACCAAATTTATCTAAGAGGATAGCAGCACTGGTCCGACACATAGGCAAGCTACCGCGAGTCATTGTAAAGGCCAGATATGCATTTATTTACCTTCAAACGATGCTTAGTGAAAGTTGAATGCATGGCACATCCCTCAGGGATTGATCGACGCCGAGAGCTTTTTAGAGCTTTATTGTCATACTGAATTTGACAGACTCCATTGAAAGGCATGTCCTTACTTTTCATTGAACCTTTTGCTGCCGTTTTTTTTCACCGAAATAAAGTTATACCTTTGACAGTCGTGGTTTAGCAATTGGTGGGAGATTTCCGAGGAGACTTCTGATTTCATTCCTATCCAATTCTCTTGATGACTCGCCTTCGTCGAGATGAGCACCTGACTCAAGACTTTCCACCTCTAAGAAAACATGAGACATGGATCTTTTCCAATTTCGCCTTAAATTCAAACATTGCATAATATTTTTTAAAGAAAATAATCAATTCCACGTAATGGACATGAAGAGGGGATAGGTCTTCCGAACATAGCTATGTTGTACCTGAGCAGAATACCTGAGTAGATTAAGGTATGACAGGCGGGATGGTACCCTATGAAGCAACAACTACAGAACGAAGAGGGTTTTTGAACTGATAAATAGTTGGAAGCCAGTATGATTTAGAAGTGAAGAATAGTGTCTTGGAAGCACAATAGCGTCGTGGAAGCAGATGCAATCTTAGCGCGCGTGTATTTGTCCAAGCTACCGAAAACCGCCATGAATTGATTAACAACGAAAAATATTCAGTTTTAAAAATTGTACAGAACAATGTAGTAATTTTAACAACTCACGTGAAGCATCTTGGTCTAATTCAGTAATAGAAGGCCGTGACATCTCTGAGGGTCTCGATTCAGAAGCATTGCTCGCTGGAGACGCTAATCCGTCTTCCGATCTTGCTTCATCTACTAAGACTGCAGATTCAGGTGAAGAATGTTGTGAAGAACGCTTCAGTGATACAGTCTCGATGCTTAAAAAACTTTGGTTATTATCTCATATAGTTGTTTTTCACTATTTTTCATCCATACTATTTGATCATAACCTTCCCCTCAGTGCTTACTTTGATACCTGGGTGGCTTGTTTTCACTTTTCCCTCAATTATACAATAAAACTTAAAATACATTGTCTTCTAACTGTTTGCCACTGTAATAAAATTTTCGCAATCCCTTTCCTTTACTCTGCCATAAAATATTGTTGCTCCGACAAAAACAAATGGATAAGGATGACAACACATTAGAAACTCACTCTCCTCTTTCAGACGAGGACGCGTCTACTTCCGTAGTCTCGCTAACAGTAGGGATTTTTGGACTGGTTACGGATACCGTTGAATGGTCGTCTTCTAGTGAAGTACTAGCCGATCGAATAAGAACTACTGAGCTTTCGGAAGGAGCAACTGCGCAAGGCACAACCGAGTTTCTCTGAAAGCGATTTCATCTCTTCAACGCTTCTTAGAGGATAAAATCTATGACAATAGTTCTGTCATCCCTGAGATCACGTTTAAGAGGAAAAATTTAATGAAACCAAAATATTCGACTACAAACTTGGTGCCACTGAACCCTTCACGAACAGATGCTCAGCTGGCTATATGCCACGATACGTTGCACATAAACGGTTAAATGAGCCCATGACCTTGTGCTAGACTTAGGACGCATTAGGATTCACAGGATGAAGAACTTGTCTCCGTCGTACCGTAGAAATATTCGTGTATACATCCGTTGGTGTACTTGCGCTTGTTTGAATTTTATACTGTATGTCAAAAACAGAGGCCAAAACATTGCAACCAGGTGCAGAAAAGCTACCCGTGAGTGTATCGAGCACCTACACCAGATCTCAGTAAAGTCTTTGCAGATTTGCACCACCAAAAAAAACCACACGTACGCATTTCAATAACAAGAGAAATAATAGGCCTTCTTCCCGTAACCGGGATACAGTGGCTTTCAACAGAACGGAGGCGGAAACGCTATTAAACTTTCAAGATTTTTAGGCGCTAAGGATACCTAGGAGAAAATTGTTAATTGTAACGTGCATCCATCAGAATTTGAATCGTTCACAGAAAAGCTAATGAAGGTGGCTAAGAAGACTGAGCACGACACCAATGGACTAGCCTTGAAAAAAAAAACAAGTCGACCTCTTGAAAAGTATCATGAATGGATATAAAACAGCATAGTAAATTGAAGGTTTTGATTAGTCGTTGTGTTCGTGGTCTTAAAGTTCGAAACAGTGTCAGGAAATCGCCTTTTCTGAGCAAAAACCTTTTTTTAAAAGTATAGACACCCGAAAGATCAGTGGCAATGATTCCGTTCTTCGCGGCCCAGCCTAATCAGACTCTAGTTCGACGCCGCCATGGGTCCACATGGCCTCTTATCTCTCGGGGATCGAAAACTTACTGCCATAATTGTCCGCGAACAGTTCACTCCTTGCACTCCAAGTAAGTCAGAACGTTCCAGCTCGGCAATTCTACGACTCCACCAGCATTCAGCTTTATGAAGAAGACGGGAAAGTGGAGCACCCGAACACACACGCAAAAGGTTTGGAGATCTTCGTAGACGGTGGATGCGAAGAAACGAATCGAGTGCAAAAATTGCAGGAATGTGCACGTTTTAAGACATATAATCTCGGATTACGTAGTAAATGAAAAATGGTATCAACAAGTTGGAGAAACAAAATCCGAAAATCATAATAAAAAATGATTATTTCACCTATTTTGCCTTATTTTGAGCCTAACAATCGACGAAACGATAAGATAAGCTCGCAGCTCATGTGGTACTGCCCGGAAGTTAGACGGAACAATCAAGATGTTCATGCGACGCAAAACACTTTAGGACTGGTGCATTAAGTTGTACATCTTCAACGGCAGGATAACGATGGCCGCATTCTGGCTTCACACGGAGTAGTCTTTGTATGCAAATTGAAAGCAAATAAAGTTGACAATAAAATGTACCCTGAACTCTTCGAAATCCATGGTCACTTGCCTCCAAAGTCGGTCGAAGAAAATGAATACGTTGCCTAAGCGATTCTCTCATAAAAAGTCTGATATTCTACTTCGTCAGTGAACTGCATAACATCTGGTATGGATAGGACTATACCCAAATGTGTCAAGAACCAACCGTGAGTATCATATAGTACATCTTCCTAATCTGCTATTTGCCACTGAGGATTCGCAGTGAACGATGAGCAGCAGAAACCCTTTGTTTCACAATGGACAAAAATATACGACATCGGTACTTACTAGTCAATCGCCTGATGTCTATTCTATTTGGTCATTTTTCGAGTTGTCCTTAACAGAGATGACAGAATATTGGACAACGTGTATTCTGATTAGCAAGGAATGTTTCCCAAAAAGTCATCTTCATGCGTAATACCCACATGGAACTGTGTTTGAAATCACATTGTTTTAGCTTCCAATTTGTCTTTTGTCTTTTCATGTCAGTGCACGATGTGAAATGCAACCACAGAGATTCTCAGATATGAGCGAGACTTGGGAACTCAGTTGGGTTTCGAACCCGCGATTACTCTTAGCGGGAGCTAATGTGCCATCCACTACACCAACTAAAGCCTTTGCTTTGCCTTTCTCTCAGCCATGTATTGGTGTCGGCAAATACCCGTCAACAGGAACGATCCGGGAAAACATAGAAATGCACTGAAATCCGTTAAGCTGAAGCCGCAGTAATAGCTCATGCTTATATCATGCTCATGCACTTTTGCTCATATCTCAGCAACCCAATGGTTGTACTTCACAACGCACGCTGAAATGAAAAATGAATAGGCAGAACAGGAAAGTTAAAACATTGTGATTTCAACTAACAACTACACCTTCATCTCAAATAAGTCCAATGTCGATTTATGCTCCCCAGATAGTTTCAATTTAGGAGTGACTGTTTATAGCAATAACGGAGTAGAAATAAAGCCGACAAAAAGGCAAGGTAAGTGCATTAGATGGCGTGATGGATAGCATGTGAGTCCTCCTTGAACGTAATAGTGGATTCGATGCCCACCTGGTGCTCCCAGTTTTGATCATATCTCGGAATATCTGTGGTTATATTTGGAATTCTGTGAGCTTCGAAGAGGACTCATTTCATCGCTATAAAAAACCTTTTCAACTTAGTTGAAGTCAATCGGCCACAGAAATTCTGGACAATTCGGCTACTCCTACAACGATTCGCAACGCCATACATCTCCTTCACAGAGGGATCTCATGCTGTTTAGATGGAGACAACGTGTGGCTTCCGAGTTGGCGGATAGGGGGTTAGTCGCGAACCAAAAGCGACCTAATGGTTCTCTGAGATACAGATGGATCCAGTAAACAGAATCGCTTTTTCTGCTGCATCGATTTGGCACTGTGTTTACGAAAAGGAAAAACAAATGAGGCCCTCGGTTACTGTGGGAGAGACTGGCTAGCTATCTATGAGTACACCGAGCCCCACGTTCAGAGCCCAGCAAGCTATATGTAGCCATCAAATTCAAAACAGTAGAATATAAAAAGTGAGTCTAACTCCTTTAACCTTGAAAGATTCGCTGATATGGCAGCGTTGGGTAGGACAAACACGGACAGCCTGGTAAAATCTCAGAGCCATTCTAGACTTCCTTAATTGGTAAGTGAACAAGACAATGTGGACCCACAATGCACGCTCACTTGCAACTGAGTCCTCAATAAAAAACCTGTTCATGCAGGTAAGAAGGGCAGGTACGAAGTCATCAAAATGAACGAAACAAGAAGACATCAACCATTCAACGCCGTCTATAACACCGGAAAAGAACTTCTCGGAACATCCGACAGTGGAGGTGGCGTTCTGATCAACACGAACTTGGCCATGAGCATTGAATCATTCGAACAACTAACAGCCCATAACGGATGTTTAAGCTTTAAGAAATATTGATCAATACCGGCTTTAACAACCTTCCTCATCTATGCACCAACATCAAGCTATGACGATGACGAGGTCGAAGCGTTCTATGTGGACCTGGAACAGTTTTACAGAGAAGAAAACATATCATTTCAGGTTATCAGCGGAGATTTTAACGCTAAGGTAGACTCCAGAAGAACCTCTGAAGAGCACCACATTGGAACCCACGGATTAGAATGGAAAGAACAAGGTAAGCGGCTGCCTGAGTTTATCATGGCGACCAAGACAATCTATGGTAACTAACAATTTCAGAAGCCCCACCTTCAGCGCTGGACGTGGGAGTCTCCCACTGGAGAGTACCTTAACGAAATAGACCACATCATAGTAAATAGAAGGTTTTGCCTAACCGATGTTGCTGTTGTCGCAAAATTCTACACGGGATCAGACCGTCGTCTCCTTCGTGCAAGATTCTATTTCTCGTAGAATGGAAAAAAAGCCGCTAAAGTCCAAAACTGAGGTCCCAGAACCACCGCAAACTGGGACTTATTTAATTCATTAGTCGGCTGTTAGGAAGGTGCCGCTGTCGATAACATCGAAAAAGAATACGATCGCCTCATTCAACATCTTCATGTTAGCGCTATGGAAGCTGCGACTGAGAAAATGACCAGGAAACATCTGTCCCCAGAAACACTCGAGTTAATACGCGAGTCTGGAATCGGACGAATTACAGGCAATCGCCAACTCACCTCTAAACTTGTAAAACAACGCAGACAGGCGACAAAGGAAGATCTTAAAGAGAGAAGACCGACAGTTGAATGTGCAGAGACTGGGAAAAGTATTCGCGAAGTCCACCGAAAATTTGTCAATTATAAAACAAAGATGACTCCACTCCGAAGAACAGTCGGAACAGTTACAGTTTCCATAAAGGCACTGAAGAAAATCATTTACGATTACTACTCGGATCTCTCCAATAGCCACGTCCTTATTTCATCATACTGAATAAAAGAGAAGTTAATTATTCTAAATGTTATCTAACTACTCGAAACGCTTGTTTCATATTGCTCTCAGAGATTAGAGGTTCTCTGAAATACACACGGCGTTGCTGGTTCTATTCTGCACCACGGACTCAACAAGCCTTTTGCCTCTCCGGGGTGGGCAAATCGGTACCAGGCTTATCTGGAAGGATAGCAGCATTCAAAACATAAAACATTACCTATTTGGTTTTCTTCGGATCTTATCCAATCATTTACGTGTCAGTATCGATGCCGGTTGTGGATCATTAGAGACCCTATCAAGTGCACTTTGCAACCATTTACGACCACTACCCCATTCGGCACAAACCGAATGCCTGGCGCACCCCAGTCAAATGTGCCTGCTACTCCACAACTTGCAAGCTTAACTCGTGGAGTTCATAGATTCATGCTAACACTACTGTTTGCCTCTCTTTCTAATTTTAATGTGTGTAAAAAATTCTTTAACACTGCTGTATTTTGTCCTAAATGGGTCATTTCATCAAAGGATCAAAATGCGTTGATTTGGTATTTAATTTCACATCCTCTAGAGTTTACCTGGTAGTAACAACAAACGTTTCTAAACGGCTTAGCTTTATCATAGCTCGTTGTTTGCAGAATTCTAAAGGAACTAAAAATCCACAATGAATGTCTTACGCGAAAACAAGAGCAACGAAGAATGACTTAGAAAACTTTACGCTGCAATCCTGGTTCAAAAAATACAAGAAATGCAGCGACGTACTTCTTTCTGCGAGATGGCCGACTCTGATAAGTGTGGTTTCGAAGCCGGAAGAATCAATCCATGCTTCCACATTACATTCACGTCCAGGAATACACCGCAGTCCGAGCCGTCGACCTGGAATCTTCAAGATCATGGAATTGCTAGAAAACAGTAAAGGGTTTCACTTCAGAGATAAACAAGAATCCGATTGTTAAAGAATTCTTTCGAAGTCTTCATTGTACACTGTAATTGAACGCACCGACGGATTTCTCTTGTGTTAAAGCGTGCACGATTGTAAATTGCGAAGGGAAATACAACCATGGTAGATCAAAAAATTTGTGCTTTCAAAAATAAAAAAATAAAAAAATAAGTGCTTTTCACTTTAGAAGGATGATATCCAAAGTTAGTCCAAATTAAGACGAATCATTTAATATTTATTACCCTTATTACTATACTTATTGAAGAAGCATTTTCATTTAAAGCATTGTCACCTGATGTATTCACCAGTGCTTTAAAGAGTAACAAATACCTTTATCATTTCGAACGTTCCTTTGATAGCCTTGTTTTCTACAAGAGGTGCCAGTGGAAGAGAGAGCATGGCTAAAACTCCATCTTTCTCCTCAGTGTTTTCTGGACGGTTCTCGAACAAGAAGAATGTGATTTCCTTAAAGAGTTCGTTATGCACTTAGTAACCACGGAATAAGGATTAAGGATTCCAAGCACTGACTGTCTCGGTAAGGTACGAGTGCAACGCTTCAACAGGGACGCTCCATTCTCGTTTCGAATTGAACTCAGCCGTTTTCGACGATGTTACGGTGTTCGTGAAATAGGGGGAGAATGAGAAAAACTCGTAGATGACGCAAACTTCCATTTCACCTGAAACTTGATTCTCCTTCCTTTACTTCTGTTTAATCCGTTTGTTTGTCATTTTTCTCTTACGCGTTGTTTCTTTTCAGTGCAAATTTTGTCTCATGAGCTTTACACGGATTCATTAAAAAGTTCTTTTTTTTTCTGTTTAAATAGTTCGTAAAAAAGAAATGTGAGCAACGATTCGTGACCTCGTTTAAGATTATCAAGTCCAGTGCATCTGTTGACAATGACGATCAGTTCTTCAAAATCGTCCCCTTGTTGAGGAATTTCGATCGGAAGAACCTTAAGTGCAGCTTCAGCGGCCTTAAAGTCGTTGTTATTATATTCCTCTTGCACCTCCATGTTCAGAAATTGAAAAGAAGACATTTAAGCTCATTTTTCATCGATTGATTTTATCCATAGGATCCGGAAAGCGAGAAAAGAATAACAAATACTTTAGTGCTAATTCAATACTACAAATCAATAGAATAGCTATGGAATTTTTTAAACGCAATTCCGACAGCTGGACCTACTCACGAAACATTCAAAGAAGCAATCGCATCCTACTGGGCGAAATCGCTTACTCAGAGAGCTTGGATAGTGGAGACACGACCTTCATCAAATAAGAGTGAAAAAACGACTTGTCGCCTCCAAAAAACCGGAACGTCATCCTATATAACACGGATTTGAAACCTACACAACTTGTTACATCGTCCTAGAATGATTATTCGACTGATCGTAGCATTTACGGCTTCAAAGAAATCGCTTGTGTCTTAGATAAGCAGCAAACTTCTCTCTGATCCACAAGGACAGGCAACAACTACCTGTGCCGAAAACCTCGAAAGACTTTAGGCGAATACCTCAAGATTCCAGGAAAATACCATGCACGACCAGAATTGATCGCGTCATTGAGGAAAAGAGATGATGTTTAAGTCGCAGCTAACCCACATTCGAATCTTACCACAATGTGGGTGATGCTTGCAAGACAGCGAATGGACTGGAAGAAATGCTGACATTCGTGCAACATGTGGAAGCGGGTCATGTATTTGAAAACTGAAAGACAAGTGTTTTTAGGCACATTTGGTTCATATGTAGTTCACACTATTGCGAACACGCTAATAGTAGTGATAATAGTGAATTACAAGAAGCAGATAGCACAGTGGTAATGGTACCGATCATCACGAGCACGGCGCTGGTTCGATCCCGCCTCGGGCCACCAAGCCTTTCACCCTTCCAGGACCGAGAGATTAGTGTCGGGCTTGTTCGCGAAAAAATCACTTTTTACAATCTAGCTGGAAACGCTCCAGCCCGGTTATCTCTGTAGTCCGGATGGAATCGATTCGTCCAGCATTCTACAAGATTCAATATGAAATGGAAATCCTCAAGCAGCAGTCGAGCCACACGTAAAAGTTGAAAGACTTTCATAGATGGTGGATACGAGATACCGAATCGAATATGAGAAATGCTGAGTTTCACACATTGGACGCGACTATGAGTCCTACAAAATGTAATAAAAAATAGAAAAAAATCATAAATCAGGATTTTTGGCAGAGAAACAAAAGTGGAGCATTCAGGTTCTCGTCACCATCGTGAGAAATGCGCACAGTTCGCGGTGCCTAGTCAACCACTGACGGATAAGAGATGTCAGTAGCCCAAACGATTGCTTTCAGTTCGTGTAAACGCAGATCCCATTCTGTAAGCTATTCACCTGATAGCTAGCGATACAACGTTCTAGCTCATCTGTGGCGCTAAGCTCGTATTTGAGATTGGCTACGGTGGAGCCGGAGTCGACGGAGATCATCTTCAGTTCGCCCACAACACGACTTTTCGTCTTTTTCTATAACATATGGTTTATTCGAGCAAAAATAACCATCTTTCTACATAAGCATACTATCCTGATGCTTAATTTTTTAGATTTTTTTGGCAGAAATCAACCATTAGGATTCCCTTGTCCTTCAGAGTGTTTTAATAGTGTTAATAGTGTTTCAAATTTTCACTTTTAAATAATCAGAAGATTCGTTAGTTCCTAATTGCGATATGCTTCTAAAGCAAATAAAATGGTGTAATATTCAGTGGAAAACTGCCATTTTACATTACTTCATTACCTGTAGCAGCGGCTTTAGGTTTACCACTGCAGCTGCTAAAAGGATGTAGTTGGAGCTTCGCGGTGAGTACAATTCGATGGTGATGCCGTTCTGAAATCCAAGCATTCACTAGTTTCTTAACATCACCTAGAATGCTGCACCATACGTGATGAAAACCAGCGATATTAACTGACTTGGGCCATAGGTGTACAATTTTCTTCTCGTATGTCTTAAAGGCGTTTCACTTTAAAAATAAACAATTCTAATAGTGAAGGCTTGGAAAAATTAATCAGAACATTTGTTGTATTTACGAGCTTATATGAGGTTGTTACAAAAGATTTCAATGCCAATTTGTGCCCCGCAGAACAATTCCGCTGACGGGTCATTGCTGACACCAACGTTAGGCTAACAAACTAGCTCAGAGAAAGGCGAAGAGAGGGCATCGTTGGTGTAGTGGATAACATGTGAGCCCCCCGGAAAGAGTTCGAAAGGAATCGAGATTTCGCAACCCAAAACTGGTGTTCTGAGTTTTGCTACGAAAGAACTACTTTAAAAAGAGGTCCTCACCGTTTCTACGAAGTGGAGGAAAAGATTCGACACCACTACATTGTAAATGGTAGTGAAATCCAGTGTTGCTGTAGGTTTCGTAAGAATTGGAGTTGTTTGCAGTTCGAAGTCGAAGAATTCCAACGACAAAAAGTAGGCGGGGCATGTACCGACGGAAGCAATGAATTCATCAGCGAGACGAATCTCCGTGAGTGTTATGGAGAGATCCGTCGAAAACTCTGCCTTTGTCTCCTACAGCAAACGAATTTAACTGTAGCAAAAAAAACTGACATTTAAAGCCATTATATTTTAAATAACTGAACACTAACGCCTACGGCTCAACGTTCAGAAACACTCTTCCTAGAAAACTTCCTGGTTTAGTGACAACTATCGCACCCAACGATCTTTTTGTTCTTATCAACTCACATCTTTTTTCTGAGAGTGAAGCATAAAACGTGAGCGTATCCTTTGAATTACATCACTTTTAAGTAGGAACTTCTCTTCTATTGCAGCCAAAAATTTTAGCCCAGTTGGATTTCAGAACATTCTTATTTAAAAAAACTAGCGGAAATGCTTAGTTGAAACATCCCCTTCAAATAGAAGCCTGTTCAACCTTTTATAACACTCTAACAAAAAAGTATTTTAACTATGAGGGCTCGCTGTTCTCACTAGTCAAATAAGGGAACGCTAGTAATAAATCGAAAAATTCTTTCGAAGAACTAGTACTCACAGCAGGTGCTGCGGCTGTCGTCGACTTCTGCCTTCCATAAGCGATCGAACGGATCTGTTCGTCAAGTAGTAAGATCCTTTTCTGCTTCTCCATCAGATTATCACGCATTTCTTTCAGTTTCGACTCGTATTTCTTCTTCGAAGATTCCATTCCTTCTTGCAATAATTTAATCTGAATAAGAGCTTGCATTACTTCTTGCATGGGTGGATTACGTGCCGACGAGCATCAATACCATCGGCATTACCAATTCATTGAGAAATAGAAAAACATAAGGTCCTAAAATAAGAACAACGAGAAGAAAGACGCTTTACCTCACTGTAGGTCTTTTTTGCATTCTCTCTCAGTCAGCATAGCACTCTAAGCATTATGGTTTTTGACGAACTACATGCTTACTTGAATACTTGGATGGCTCATTTTCACTGTTTGTGATGGCCCCAGCATAATTTCTGTTTTTTCGGAGTTTCGCTGGTTTAGCCATCGTAGTTCCCTGAAGACCCGATGTCAGCCTGGTCAAAGTCTGCCTTAGGTCATCACCACCACAGGCAGTCGCCGGCCTTTGTGGATTATAGAGAGATTTGTCACCATGCTACGATACCAGGATGGTGGTGGGTCGTGGTATTGGTTTACTCTTAGCTAGGCTTCCTGATGGAAGCGCCGGATTCCTTTTCAGCTTGGGAGATCCTGCCGGGAAAATGAATCCCCAATGTACATCGCAACCCGACACCCAGGAGCACCTCCCAGCCTACCTCCACGAAATTCTCAAAAGTGGCAAAACTGCAGGGAATTCATGCGTGTGTGAGATTTCTGATGCCTATGAACATTTCTTTCAGGTCTTTAATAGATCTCCAACAGGCGCCTCTAGGGTCACAAGTTGCTGCAACGAATAACCCCCAAAGATGTTTATTAGAAAGTTGACACTAATTTCTCGATCATTTGAATATTTGGCTAGAGAAATTCAAAAAATCAATGAATCAGAGTCTTTGTTCTATCGTCATAGTTACATATGTAGTTTTCTGGCAAAATATTCCTTATTAAAAACGTTTAGAATTGAAACCCGTGTAAAGTTGAAAACGAAATTTAGGTCTTCGGCGAATTCAGAATGGCAGTGAACATCAACAATACATTGGGAATGACCGCTGGGTACCGCTTCGGGGTTCAAAATAGCGGCTTCGGAGGAAGTCGGGAAACTTTCATCCTACTAGAATGCATGGAGCTTTATCTTGTGAGCAAAGATCTGTAGATTACAATAGCCTTTATTTAAATCAATAAAATTAAATATGATCGCAGATATGTTGATTCAAAGTTGAAAGCGAGTATCGTTTTTGTACCGAATGTATTCGACTCAATGCATTTCAAGTGTTAAGTGTTTAAAAAACTAATATGATGAAAACTTCACAAAAACTAGATTATTAGTGTCACAAAACCCTTACAAAAGACGAGTTTTATGAAAGGAAACGAAAAAACCACGTTCTGGAGGAGAAATAAAAGAAGTATCCCGAAAAGTGGATTGTCCAAGCTGCTTGCTATCTTCTCCACTCACCTCGGTGCACTGCTTTTGATTGATGTCGTGCTGTATAAGCAACATATTTCGAAGCTTCTCCAGTTCATCGTAAAGCGCTGCATACATCTTTTTCCATCTTCAAAAGAAGAACCGTTTTAAAACCGTATTCACATCTATTAACACCGTGTACATCTTCTTCCAACTGCTTTCTTCTTAAGTTTTCGTTCTTATAATAAAGGTGATACGAAAAGAAGGCTCACCTTCCAATAGTTTGATTAGGTTCGCTTGGAAACGGCGCTCAAAAATTAGATTTCGCTCTTTCGGTCTTTTGAAGGCGACTTCTCTTACCTTACTATTTGCTCCACCGAATCTATTGATGTGACAAAATCTGCTTTGTCATGCTGGATGTCGTGGGATTCCAGGATCGCAGCTACATCTTGATAAAGCCGTTCCAGAATATCGTTATCATTTTTATTCTGAATGTGAAATACTGACTAAACTAAAGGCTGTCAAACACAGATATTGTTTTTTTGTGGTGAAATCCCTTGTTAAGAATCCCAAGATATGCATAATAAACATGCTTTATTCATTGATAAGCTAACTCGGGACTGACAGAGATAATGGTGAAACAACTGACCAAGTGTTGTGCATAATCTTACGCATGACTACGCATATACGAGTGAGGAGAACCGAAAATTCTGATGTCTGGATAATCAAAACCGTTTTCTGGAATTTCTTAGGAATATGTTGTCTTGGTAAGTATGACACCTTCCGAGCACTAGACGACATTACTGGTTGATATTTATAGCACATTTTCAAACGAATTTCCATCCTACAGATTTCGGAGACACGTGTAGCACAGTGGGGCGAGGCACTTTGGAATACTCATAGGGTCGATACATGAGCCCCAAGCTCACTGAGCACTTCATCCCTCCTCGGTCGGCAGATTGATGACAGACTTGTCTGAGAGGATAGCAGCACGAGCTCAACTCCATACATCGGTATATCACCGCGAGTCATTGTAACGGCCAAATATGCATTCAATCGTCTCCAAACGATGCTTAGTGAAGTTGAACGCATGGTGCATCCTTCAGGGATTGATCAACGCCAAGGGCTTCATCCTTTATCCTTTATACATTTTATGCCGAACGTTAATGTCGAATACGTTCAAGCTTTAATAACTCGCAAACGCTTTAGCTTGAGGAACAAAACGACCTGTGTCTTCCCAAAGACGACTTAAAGTATCAGTTTAAGAAATACCCCGCAGGAAATGGAGAAAAGTAGAATTAGAAACGACGTATGAGAACAACCCACCTGCCTCGTTCTTTTTCGAGCAGTCTCTTTCACAAGTGAGTTTTGCAACTTATCGATGGAATCCTCATTTTTTCTGAACTATTATTTCAACAGAATTTCATTAGTACATGCCAGAATGCTGTCTAATATTTGACCACCTAAACGCATGGCCGAAAATTAAAAAATATTCTTTTCATTTTAATACTTAAAAATTGCTCATATTTATCTTCGTCTCTGTTTTTTTGATGAGCAAACACGAAGTTGTTACTACACTATTTATGTCATCGGTTTCTTTTTCTTCAGAGCTGTTTCGTTCTTTGCGGGCCATCAACTTATTATTGGAGACCAGCCGCACAAAGGATCAGATGGACAAGGTATGTACGTGACTCAAGTCAAAAATCGGCGTGAGGGTATGGAGCGAGTTCAGGCACAACAAAGCACTCCTCCTTGCAGCTCACTGTCGCGTTTTTGATATTAAACCAAGAGGTTAATTAGCTGAGAAACAGGCAAAACGATGGACCCGCATGGTGTGGTGGTGAACGCATTACTCCCCGGAAAGGACAACAGCGCTTCCGTACCCCACCGAAGACACCTGCGGTCCGGAGTTTTGCAAATATCTCAGCATTATAGTAGTCATATTTCGCAAAATACCCTGCCGTTAAAAAGAATAAAGGTTATAAAGAATAAAGAATAAAGAACAAAAATATAAATATATATAAATATATAATATAAATAAATAATAAATAATATATAATAATATATAATATAAATAATATATAATATAAATAAATAATAAATATATAATATAATAATAATATAAAAAGATATAAAAATAAGAATATAAAGAATAAAGAATAAAAAGTAAATAAAAAGGTTAAGGCAAAAGGTCAGTTTTTTATTTACTGCCTATTACAATTTTTCGCGGCAGAATATTATGTGTGACTTAACCACAATGATGCTGAGATATTTGCAAAACTCCGGACCGCAGGTATTTGCAGTGGGGAACGAACGCGCTATTAGCTTTTCTGGGGGTAATGCGTTCACCACTACACTATATGGGTCGTTCGTTCCACCTGTATCTCAGCTAGTTCTATCGATACTGCCATGAAAAACTGTGATAGGCAGTAAATAAAAAGTTGACATTGTGATTTAGACTAATGCCTCATTTAACTGGGTTCATTGCCGATTTGGGCTCCCCAGATCAATCTCGTTGACGGGTGATTGCTAATGGCACTGATCGATAGAACTAGCTGGGAGGGACGAAACGAAGGACCCGCATAGTGTGGTGGTGAACGCGTTAGCCCCCAGAAAGGCTAATAGAGCGTTCGTACCTCACCGCAAACACCTGCGGTCCGGAGTTTTGCAAATATATCAGCATCATTAAAGTTTTATCCAAATATACGGACGCGGAGTAGTCTACCCGTTTCGCCGTTGTACTCGGCACCCCACGCTTTACGAGAGATTTGGCATACCGTACCCTAACTCACACAATGATAAGCTCGCTAAACCGTTAGAGCAAATTATGCAATTTTGTGTTTTGTATAGACGGCCATACAAATGGTTTTGAACTACGTGGTGTTTTAAAGCATTCGGTGGTATTTCTCTCACTACCACCGTTTTCTCTAAACCAGGTATTTTTAAGCAACTTTTTATAGTTGTACTTATTTCGTTGGAAATGAGGGACAAGAAAAAGGGAACTTTGTTCTCGCTAGAATTACCGCTTGTGCCCTTGTTTTCACTTTAAATCTATCCCAATTACCCACCGTTTTCCAGAATGGATATTTGCAGCGTCAGTTTCAGGCATTCTCACTTTTGCTTTCTTCCTGTGCACACAGTAGTGTTCTCTGGAAACATGTTTCCTATAAGCGCCCTCTTTGAGTGTGAATGTTGAAAGGACTCATACAGCTCATTCCCGTATCGAATGACGTCAATATGCTAGCAGTCCTATAACTCCTCGTGCAACACGAAGGAGCAATAAACATGTAAGGTTTCTCGATTCAGCAGCTCACTGCCCTCATAGAGGATATTTCGCACAAACGAGAGAGTTGGTAATGGGACAGCAACAAGCACCAGGCCTTGCGATTGCCTTTATGTCTAAGGTGGAAGCACCAGTAGTCTAGCTCTGGCCATTACTCCACTGTAGTTATACAGATGACTATTTTGTGATTTGCTCCACACAATAAGTAATGAGCAAATGTTTTGAGCCACTGAACGAACAGTCTGTCAGAGTACATAAGATTCACCCGAGGGAATCTGATGAAAAACTGGCTTCAGTTTCCGAATGCTAAATTGACCTATCCGAAAACTGCTGTATCACCGAGTGGTACCGAAAGCCAAGCAACAAATACTGGTTCATTACTTCTCCTCTCACTTCTCACACACAAAAAGGCCGCTTATGAGAAAAATGCTTTCAACAGGAAGAGAGCTTACATTACTTGTCCAAGCGTTAGAGACGGATTACATGAGTTCGGATACAGTTCACTTAATCTTAAAGCATGTGGGTTCGAATACGTAGGCGAAACTGTTAGACCATTTCTAGTCCGTATATAAGAACACCGAGACTGTACACCTAAAGTCGAGCGAAACGCGCTACTATACAAGCATAAGACGCAGACATAAAAGAGAAGATTTTGACTCAAATTTCGCTACCCACGCACAGAAATTCAAAACATCACCACGTGAAACGTCTGAAGCATGTTGGTTCATTCAAAAAATCCAAAATGAACCGCAAAAAGAGTTTCTTGTGATCACGCACAACCTCATGCCATAGCACGGGGTGATTTTTTTTTACATGAGCCGAACACCTTCCTCATCCGTATGAAACTCTGAGCATCTGGTCTCCAAGAATAACCGGAGAAATTCTATAGAGCAAAACTGGGCTTAAAAGAAGCTGTTTAATGTGTGAATGAAAATGTCTGCATTAAGTTTTACTCGTAGAAGTTCTGAAAGTGTTTGTCTGAGCAGATTGGTTGCCAATTTATCCTTTTCAGGCTGTGAATAACGGGAAACCACCGAATCATCAGCAATTTTGAATGAATAAATACTGTAACAACAACCTTGTGTCTACTCATTAAGAAAGATGGGAATTACTGATCAATGCCGAGATGAACAGAAATTCGGTCCTGGAATTATATGTTTCTATTTGAGGATATCTTGCTAGCTCTATTAAACTATCGTTATTCCCTTGCATTGCAGGAGTTTTACTTGCTATTTTCAAGCAAGAAAAACATTAAAGGGGACGGTTATCGAATGGTTATCCTACAGATCTTCATCGAAAAAACTCACAAATGTCCATTCTGCCGTGTTACATCAACTCTGGGGTTCTTCTTGACCTTTTTCTTTTCGGCTCTTAAGATCTGCTCCATTTGCAGCCGTCTGTGTTCAGAGTCTTTAATCTTTTCCTCTAGAAGCGATATCTGTTTTTTCAATTCAATTTGCTCCTTCATGCTTTCGCCGAATTCAATGGAAAGAGACCTAAACGGGCTCTATTGGAATACTTCTGCGACCACACCAAAAACTTAGAGTGGGGCCCGTCACTATGAATTACACGAATCAATCTCTTACTGGTTAGGAGAATTTTTCGCAATCCTTAGGTAGTTGTGTTGAAAGCTACTCGTAATTGCTTATAGCGGACCATTGGAAGAAGGATCCCTACAGATCTTCATCGAAAAAACTCACTAATGTCCACTTTATGTCGACTTCATTGCGACATCATTTTGGATTGGGAAAAGAAGTATTATCTTGTGTCCAAATTTTAAAAATGAGCTCAAGGAAGAGAAGAGTTATCAGTCTTCTTAGCCAAGCTAACGGCACCAATTTATTTTTAGCTTGCATAAAAATTAGTTGAATGATTTCGTACCCCATGTAGATCTACCCATAGCTTTATTTTTTTACTCTTGTCTTAAACAGCATACGAACTCTCGCTTTTTATTCAGAGAAACGTCCTAGTGAGCGCAATATTGGCTGTTTCCTCCTCGAAAAATCACTGAACTCGTGATCCATTCTAAACCTGATAGAACTAAATATGAGTTCCATCATCTGATGCTGCTATTACTTGTCCAATCTCTTCCATCTTATCTGGTCGAAACTACGCAACGACTTTATAGCGACTCATTTTGTGTGAACTGAGCTACTTATAGAACATAAAAATGTGGCAACATGTGTAACCATAACGCTCACTGTTTAACAAGTCTTTCGTTCGCCTCTTTGAGCACCTCATTCTCGGCTTCGATGACGGCAAGCTGTTTGGTGATGAACTCAACTTTGCTAAGATACTGCTCGTTTTCGGTCGTCTCTCGAGCATTCCGCAACTCGACCTCCAATTCGCCCACGATGGAGGTTTTTTGTTCGAGTTGTGAGCGAAGATCCACAAGTGACTAAACATACTTGATAATACCATAGTCATCACGGTGCTTCATCCTCAAGAAAGGGCTTTTTGAGAAACAACACGTGGTGCAAGCTTATTTTCCAATGGATAGAAGCTAGAACCGGCATCGTATCAAGTTTGGTGTACTGACATGAACCAGCCAAAAACCGACCGAGTACTTTTTGACAATTTATTTTGTCTGGTCAATGAAAAAGGGTTGGGTGGAACTGATCTAACTTTGTGACAGCTAGCATTCCACTTCTCTTAATCCTAACTGAAAAATAAATTCTACGAGAGGTACTCATCTGCCCATCCACCTGGGGCATCAAAATCGTTTTTTCAAAATACTCTCTGTTCCCTTCAAACTCACTCTGTTGAGCCGATCGATTTCATATTGCATCTCAGCAATTTGACTGCTTTTCTCTCTGACTAGTCGATTCAGTCGAATATAACCAGCCTTATCCTTGAGTGTGTCCTCACTTATTCTGTTCAGTGGCGTTCTAAAATTTCTTCTAGTTAAATCGTATAACCTAATGAGAGGAAAACTCTCAATTTCTTTGCCTTTTCTTGACTTTATGAAAAGCTCCCAATAATGTTCTATTCTGGAAGGGACATCGTCAAATAAGTTGAACTATTAAACGTTAGCAGTAATACAACCACAACGTTGCTGAGATATTTGCAAAACTCTGGACCGCAGGTGTCTATGGTGGGGAACGAACGCGCTATTATCCTTTCCGGGGAGTAACGCGTTCACCACCACACCATGCGGGTCCTTTGTTTCGCACGTCTCTCAGCTATTTCTATCGATCTTTTTGCCACAGCAATCACCCATCAGCGGCGTTGATCTGGGGAGCGCAAATCGGCATAGAACCCAGTTAAGCTATGGCTGTAGTTGAAATCACAATGTTTAACGTTTTGTTTTCTGCCTTCTATAATTTTCATGGCAGGTTACTAAGCGAAATACAACCACAACGTTGCTGAGATATTTGCAAAACTCTGGACCGCAGGTGTCTATGGTGGGAAACGAACGCGCTATTATCCTTTCCGGGGAGTAACGCGTTCACCACCACACCATGCGGGTCCTTTGTTTCGCACGTCTCTCAGCTATTTCTATCGATCTTTTTGCCACAGCAATCACCCATCGTTAAACGTTAGCAGTAATGTTTGTACGAATTCAGCTAATTCTAGTTTTTTTCTCCCTTGCATGGCATGCATAATTCAGTTCTGTCAGACCTACCTGTTTCCGTCGGTACTCTGATTTGCCCCGCCCGTTTTGTCAGCGCCACTCCATCCACTGTGAAAGGGACGTCGCATTGTGTGCTGCGGACGATAAGTAGTTCGACCCTTACAAAAACTATCAATTTGCGGAACACCCCGTTTTCTAGAAGTTCAATTTTTATTTTTAGATAATTGTTACATTTTTGTCGGCGTAGTTCGCCATCACTCGGCTAAAATCATAAATGTAGGACGTTTATCTTTCACTATTAATATAGCACTTCAATTAACAAACCATCGAGAAAGTAGATAAAAACTCACAGAAATTAAAAAAGAACCAGTAAAGAAGGGAAAAGTGTTTCATTAAAATAGGCGTTTGTGCCGTTACCTCGTCAAATCGTGATGAGGATCATTAGTCTGGGGATGTCAACCACGCCAAGAATTTCTAATGCTGTCCACTTGGTGTTAATGATAACTATACGAGTTTCGCCCAGTTTCCTCATTTCTTCTTCTGAGAAAACACAGCGCATATTCAAATGGTGGAGGAGTTAAACATGGGTAAAAATAACACTGTACCTGCCCTAAGACGCTGTGAGGCCCAAAGAGATTGAGTCCATAGCAGTGCCATTATGCCATCACTTTTCTATGTATACTATACCAACCATACTTACGTATGTGTGGATATGGGTGAGCGCAAGTAAAATGCGTCCGTCTGTTCAATTCGACGAAAAGAATCTGCAACATCTAGTCAAGTCCGCAGTAAGTATCTAGTCAGTCCGTCATCTAGTCAGTATATGGTTCATGGTTGTCCCTAACGAATTGGTACCATGTCTACTCAGCAGGTTACGCATCTCCTGATAAAAATCAACGCTAAAGCACCTTCTTCACTAGACCACGAAACAGTGGAGACCTAATGTCGTTATATGGAACGAGACCAGAGTCATCCATTGAGGTCTTCACGATGTAGGCACACTGGGTAGGACGTCAATGGACTGTCACAAAGAATAAACCGTTCATTAAACGGCGTACATTATACACGATTAGAAGCGTTCCTCGAAACATTAGACGATTAATAGTCATGGTCTTCTCTTCAAGATAAACTTAACCATAAGCATCGATTTTCTTGAATAATCTATAACCTAAATTTCACACTTACGGCCTGAAAGGTGTGATGATTCCCAATGTTTTCGTCCCACGTGCCTCAGAAGAAAACTAGAACGAAGACGAGAGTGAAGCACTACATTCTGGATTGAGAGGAGACCTATGAGAAAGCATAACTTTTACAAGGTTATCATAATGGAATTCAACGGCAAGATTGACTCCAGTAGAACGCCTGATGAACCTCCAACGCTGACAAAAACACTAAGATAAAACAGAGATGGTGAGAGGCAGATGGGCTAATGTGACAGTTACAATCGCCGATTACTAGGGCATTTTTGTCTTGCTAATAAGATTGTTCGTATGAAATCAAGGACTAGTGAAGCGAATTCAGTGCGACAAATTTCTACGACTCATGATTCGTCAATGGCTGAACATGAGGAACATAACGTTCATGGGAAGCCAACTTGTTCCTGATGTCACGTTTATGTTCAGTGGAACGAATATCTCTGTATGCTAGATTCATGCGTGTACTTGGTATTTGAATTGCTCATCATCACGAGGAATCGTGAAAGCCCAGGAACAATTTGCAGTTAACTAGTATTTGCTCGTTCAGCGATCTCATTCTCTGGAGCTTCAAAATAGCTGTGCTATGAGGTTTTTTCAGTTGTCGTCATAGGTAGTCGCAAACTCCCAGGAGTGAAATTGCTTTTGAACAGATTCTACCAGGACGGCAATGAATCCCCGCATTGGTGTATTCTTAGATGAATCTTTTTATAGGAAAGTTACTGCCGTAGATCGAAATTCTACACCCACAAACACTTCCATCAATAATGGAGTTATAAATTGTGGGGGGAATCCACGTATGTAATGATTGAGAAGTGGACACGAGGGGTTGCACACTGTATGTTTTTTTTCTCACGACTCAACGCGCTCTCCAGAATCCTAGATGTTATCGAAACATGACGACAATTTAGTTACGGTTTCCGAACTCGCTACCAAGATAAGGTCGTTAGAAGCATCCCGTATTGGAGAAGTGGGAGAAGGAATCTGAAATGGTTTTCTACGTTAACAATAAGCACGTTGATCAGGAGTACGATAGGGATGAATAGAGAGTGTACTCATCTGCGTTCACATACTCGAGAACACAATCAGAATAAAATTTGCGATAGAGTTTTTAAAAGTACGTAGAAATTACAGAAAATCAAAAGTTTTGAAAAAAACAGAAGCAAAGATTTTTGGTCCACTATAGCCACAGAGCAGTGAGTGTTAAAATAAGCGCATGCAAATCAGCTGAATGACTCTCGAAACTGTGAGCTTACCGTCATCACTGAAGCTGTCACCGGTCTCGCAGTAGGCGTGGTGTAGGTGAGAATTTGGTGCTTTACGGTTTTCAACTGAAAACGGTTTAGTGCATTTGGATCACATGAGATCTCGAGTACAAACTGAAGGCTTGTCAATTTAAAAGATGTTACTGCAGTGGAACCGATTAAAATCAAGGCATTGGCAAACCCTGAATGCGAAAGTGTTTGACGATCAGACTGTCGCTTCACTCTTTCCACATACCAATTACTCATGCTGACTCTATTGAATTGCCCATTGTATTTATCTCATGTATTTATTGTTCAGTATTGAATATTGTATTATATATTGCTGAGGTGTAGTCATACTATCGCAGCGTTTCTCCTCATCGCTTCACAAACTCTTCACATATCTTTCTCGCAAAAAACACAAGCCTAAACAAAAAAACACTCGCTGGAATTACATTAGTCAGTCAGAAAAAGTACGGGCGCTTGTAGCGCTGTTACTTAAAGGCGCCCTATAATAGCCTCGGTTTCGATCCGGCGCCCCAGGCACGCCAAGCCTTTCATCTCTTGGCGCTCAATAAATTGGTGCCATACAAGTCTGGGATGATAGCAGCAATGGCTATATACATTGGTAGGCCACTGCGAGCCATTGTATAGGCCAGATCTGCATTCAGTTACCTCTAACGATGCTTGATGAAGTCGAATGCGCGGCGCCACCCCTCTGGGATTTATCAACGCTGAGAGCTCTATCCTTTATCCTCTATTCAAAAAAAAGAGAAACTATCGTCCTACCTTTAGAGCAAGAAGCTGGTTTTCCTTCTGTAATTCGTCGAACTTCTCTCGCTCGACAAACGCGTCATTTTTGACCTTTCGCTCCAAAACTGAAGACCGCAATCTTGTGTTCAAACTGGAAAAATTCAACCTCGTACATGTATTGCTTTATTTTTCAGAGAAAGGAGTGTTTTCGTGCCAGTAAGCATTCCTGATTTTTAATACTGCAATGTCTGTCGGTAAAACAATTTTATTGTTTCTTTCGTGTGATTTCTGTAACCTTGTTCAAAAATTAACGAAATCCCTTTAACTTTGTTTAATTTCAATAAAATGAACAGCAACATTGTGATTTTCAACCACGACGATGTTGAAACAAACGCAGAGCAAGAATTTCCGTGGCGCAGTGTGTAATGCCCGAGCCCCTGAAAAATGAAATCGTGGTTCTATCTGGCCCAGGGTCTATGTTTTGAGATTATCTCAGCATCGTTGTGGTTGATTTCACATAATACGCAGCCGTGAATATTTTAATAGGCAACAAATAAAAGAAAAGCAAACATTGTGATTTTCTTCTCTTGCTCATTGATCTTCTTCTGCGCCGTCCGCAATTGTTGATACGTGGAGTGAAAATGTTCTTCCAGCTCCACTCGACTCCATTTTTCGATAGGAGGCCTAACCACCATCGACTATTATAAGATCCCACTGGAACTGTCGTCAAGAGTTTTATCGAGAAATGAAAAGCGTTGGAAGGTTGAAAATAACCGAGCATTAAGAAAGGTTTGCTGCTCTTGGGCTCCATGAGAACAATGCTGTTCAATGAGAAGAACCTCGGTTTGGTTGAAATAACTATTTACATCCAATATTCGCTCGACTTAAAACAAACCTTGGTATGGATAATCACTGTCTTGGTTTATTGATAACCTCAAAAAGGAAGCACTTTTGGATTGTAATCAAACGGTAACCGCACTGTGTCCTGGGAGATGGCGGCTGATATCGGTTCATCCCACCAGCGAGAACCGTCCTAGCTAATGCTGACTTCTGCTACTTCATTCGTGCAATGTTGCACTCTACTCGATTCGAATGCGGCAACAACGAAGAAGAACAACTTACTTGCTTACTTGATACTTGAATGTCCGTCGTCACTGGTTGTGCGGACTCCAGCATAATCTCCATTTTTCGGAGATTTGCTGGTTAAGCCATTGTGGTTCCATGGAATCCGAGGTCAACCTGGCCAAAGTCTGCCCCAGGTTTTCACCACCAAAGGCAGTCGAAGACCTTATGGATCAGAGGGAGATTTAACACCATGCGGTTCTGATATACCAGGACTGCGGTGGATCCTGGTATTGGTTTACTCTTAGCTATACTTTTTGATGGAAACACCGGGCTCCTCAGCATGGGAGATCCTACCAGAGATTGAATCCTGTATATCGCAGTTCGACACCCAGGAATACTTCCCAGCCACGATGAGGCGGTAAACCGTTCAGAGGTTCTTTTAAGCGAGAAGAAGAACAGCAGCAAGAGAAGCAACCGCTGTGAGCAGTCGTCTCGAATCATCGCAGATCTGAAAAGGAAGATAGTGCTAAAACGTTTTGCCACATTGAATAACTGTAATAAACTCGTACGGAGCATGTAGCGCAGTGGTTAGGGTGTAGACTGGGTCGGTCTCTGGTTTAATTCCGTGCTCCGAGCTCAGCTAGCCTTCCAACCCTTCCTGGTCGGCATATTGCTATCAGGTTTGTATAGGAGGATGGACTATAGCAAGTCATTGTTTGAGCCAGATATGAATTCAATCACCTCTACGACGATTGGTAAGGTCGAATGTATTGCGTATCCTTCATGGTTTGATTAACGCCGAACGCTTTATCCTTCATCCACTTTAACAACCTCGTCTAAACTTACCAATAACCCAAGACAGTAATTATTATG